AAATATTAAAAATAAGCTCTTTTTAAGCATGAAGGAACAACCAGTAGGAACTAGAGGGGAAACATTTTTTATTATTTTATTTTATTATTTATTTTTATTTTATGTATATGAGTATATCTAATGCATGTATGCAAGTTATGCAGTGCCCACAGAAGTCAGAAGAGGGCATTGGATCCCCTGGAACTGGAATTGCAGATGGTGGATAGCTGTCATGTGGGTATGGGTTTAGAACCCGGGTCCTCTGAAAGAGCAGTCAGTTCTCTTAACCACTGAGCAATCTCTCCAGCCCCGAGAGGAGACATTTCTAACAGGTTAGTTTTATAGACAAAATCTTCCAGGGCAGAGAAAGACAAAGTGTCTTTTCTTCTGGTGGAAAGGTGCATTCTTGCCTTCAGTGTTCTGTGACCGAGGTCCTATCATCAGACTTTACATTTTCCATTTCTCATCCCTAAAACACAGGATGGGCTTATCTATTTCATTATCAGAATTGAGTAACATTCTGCAAATGGCTACCCGTACTCTAATGCCTTGTTAATTTGACAAAACAATCAGAAACATCCTTTCAGAATATCTTCATAGATTCAATGCCTATTGCAAGCTTATTTGCACTAAACTCTTCATAGCTCAACAAAATTAATTCCTGCCAGATAAAAATTTTAATACTAGAGAAAATATTCTGTATGGCAGTTTATGATTTTATATTTGTATAATATTTCTTCTCCAATTAGCTGTATGTATATCAACAGTTATATATATATATATATAAATTGCTACTAATTAAAGGCCCTTTATTGAAGTATATGATTCTAGCCATGGTCCTGTTTCTACTCTCACTTCTGTGGGTAAAACATATACATAATCACACAAAAACACAAAGCAAATTTGTTTTTTACAAATCTGTCATGCCATTTATAAAAATACATGTTTTTATTAAATACTCTCCAAAATCTTTTGAGGATGATTTGTTGATTATATTTTAGCCATGATTCCTAAACCTATCTTTGTCTAAATACCTTAAGTGTAAATAATGATGTCTCCAGTGGTACCTAGAGGAGAACTATAGTAGAAATTGTAAAGGCTGCAGTCACAAAAAACAAGTAGCTATGGGGGTCTTCTGCATCAAATATTTTATCAAACTTCCTTCTAGCACATTAAACAGACTTTTCTTGTTTATAACATGATTAACCAGATCATAAATATTCAGTTACAGAACTTACTGAATGTGAGTTTATTTCCTACATTAAAATTACTTTTATTGATTCAAGTTTCATATAATATATTTTGATCATATTCACATCCCTTTCCTCCTTTCCATGCCCTCCATACTACTCACCCTGGAATTTATGTCCTCTATTATCTATTAAAGACATATGGAATCTAATCTGTGTTTCCAAAGCCTTCTTGGTAGGGGTTGATTCCTTGGATTCCAGTCAACCTTCCAGTGCCATGCCAGTAAGGAAAACTGACTCTCCCTTTCCCAATATCCACCAAATTAGAACAGATCCTCAGCTAGGGCTTGGATTTTCTGC